ACCCTCTAGTTTTCTATATAATGCAATCAATTATTGCTATTAATTGGTTTGCTAGAATAGGTTAGAGGAAACCTAAATGATAGAGATTTTCATTCAACTAATATTTTGATTCCATTCACGTATATATAGTAATCGCATTATTGGGTACGAAAAAGACCACTGTCGTTGGGGTTTTAAATGTACAATGTAAATCAAATAATTAGACTGTTATTTGTGTGTAACATATACTAGGTCGTATTTTGTTACGTAGAAAGATTTTGTTATTCTTTTTAGTGTAGGATGTTAAAATCTCAAGAGGCAATTTGAAATATAGCAATTTTTCTATAAAATTCCAAATTTGTATCTCCTTTACATAATCTGCATATTAATATATTTAGATACGTGTATACATGCTGTAGCGGTACGTACGTAGTACATTTTACAGTTTTTTTATTGTTAATTAACAAATTTGATGGACCCCAACACAGTTGTGCATATTAGACCACATGATAATTAGGAAATATAATAACGACAAATAAACTTTGAAGGCATATGGGAAAAATCAACATAACACAAACATTAGTATATAGATATAGATTCTGAAATACGCAGATTATCAATTAAAAAAAAAGAGATCTAAAAAGGAAAAGATGCTAAAATTTCACCAAAATTGCGTGATTCATTCTCATTGATTAATAATCAGAGAGACAACATTTCAAATTTAATATAAATAAGCAACAATTTGGCATTTATTTTTCTTTAACGAGATTACTTACTCGCTTCATTCACATCATTCGCTTTATAATAAAATAATAAAAATGGTTCTCCGCCTTGGTGACGAAGCCCCTAATTTTAAAGCAGAAACTACCCAGGGTGAAATCGATTTTCACAGCTTTATCGGTACTTCTTGGGTTGTCTTGTTCTCTCATCCAGCAGATTTTAGTAAGTTTCACATAACGTAAATAATGAATTTAAAAAAAAAGAATCTGTTTTATTAATTTAAGCAAAATTTTCTTTTACATAGCCCCGGTCTGCACTACAGAACTTGGTGAAGTTGCTCGTCGTAGCAAGGAATTTGAAGAACGTAATGTTAAAGTGATTGGTCTTTCTGCTAATGAATTGAAAGACCACCACCAATGGGTGAAAGAGATTAATGAAGTTAACAAAGTTAATCTTGGATTCCCAATTATTGCGGATGCTGACCGTAAAATTTCCACCTTGTACGACATGTTGGATTATCAAGATCCTACTAATGTTGATACCAAGGGCATTCCATTTACCGTCAGAAGTGTTTTTATAATTGATCCAAAAAAGAAAATCAGATTAATGATAACTTATCCTGCTTCAACCGGTAATCATATATATATATATAATTTTATGTTAATTAATAATGATAAATCTGTGAATATCTATCATTAACATAATAATAATAATTTTAATAATTTTAGGACGTAACTTTGACGAAATTGTCCGTGTCATTGACTCTCTTCAACTTGGTGACAAGCACCGTATTACTACTCCTGCTAACTGGAAGAAAGGCGATGATGTTATTATTCATCCTAGCGTATCTAATGAAGAAGCTGCAAAACTATTTCCTGATTATAAAGCACCATTACCTTATCTTCGTTTAGCCAAATCTCCTTTCTAAAGAATTTATATGCTAATCATATTATAAGTGATTATGAATACTATGTTAATACATTTAGCGCTTATTTGGCGTTGTTTTTATCATGCACATATTTACAAAAATAAAAAAAAAATTTTTGTATAATAAAGTCTGCTTCAATAATACTAAATGTAACCTGAAAATGCGAACGGATAATCTTTATATTCTATAATGGTTCAATAATGGTTATAACAATGTCCTGACAATGATTCTATATTAATCAAATGACGTAAACAATTCATCAAACTTAAATATCATATTACATGATAGTTTGATAATGATTAAAGTCTCGTATATCATCTTAGTTGATAAATTTAACCTTCTCTTTTATTTAACACTTTTAAATATTCAGAACTTTCAACCTATTTAATCTCTTTTGTTACAATTCTTCTTTTTTCTTTTTTTTTCATTATGTTTCGATCAATAATAGAGACAGAAACCGACTCATCTTTATCGCCTCCACCTTCCTCCTCAACGACCGAAGATGATGATGATTCCTCAATTAATTTACGCCAACAACAAAATTTCTCGATTTCCCCATCGTTAACCTGTTCAGCAAGCACTTCTCCTATAATAGAACCCGAAACCACCGTCGATTGTGATGATGATAGCATTCCATTATTGGCACAAAGAGCCTCAGAACTTCATTTCATGGTACAAAAATTAATAAATACTCATTTACCACATCTTCAATCTAAAATTTTAAAACAACAGGATTTTTCGAATGAAGTAGATGACTCTTTTATTTATAAAGGTGTGGGTAGAGAATATCAATATACTTATGACGCGATAAAAAAAATTGTAAATGACTCTTGGATTTATAATCATTTGGATATACCCCCCTATTTTGCTGATATTTATGATACGACTGATGGTTTCTTGGAATGTGGAGTGGATGCTGATGATTTTTTTATATTCTCGGAATAATTTTTTTATCTTCTCGGAATAATTTTTTTTATCTTCTCGGAATAATTTTTTTTATCTTCTCGGAATAATTTTTTTCTTTTTTATCCCTCACGCGTCGTGAAATTTTCTACCAACATACTGTACGTATAGTACGTACTATACGTACAGTACGTACTATACGTACTATCTAGTAGTGTATACGTACGCTCGAATATACGTAATATATTGTACGTAACAACAATTATATAATTACGTAACGGCAATTATTTAATCTTAAGGTTTCTCGTAGAACTACTATATGACGTATCCCAATATATTACTATACGTAATTCTCGTTGACTTTTTTATAGGATGTCGAGAAATATAACTATATTATTACATAATCAATAACATGTTTTTTCTGAAATGTAAAATTTTAAAATTTATTGTACGTATACTGTATTTGTTAGCTATATATTTTGAATACGTATTAAATTTAATAATTATACAATTATAATTTATTGCCCTAAAGCTCATGCCAGACATGCCGCTAAACCATGTGATAAAATAAATAAATTTGTATAAATTTGATTGGTTGGTTATCTTTCGGAATATTGCGGAACCTTGCTTTCGTTGATTTTCTAACAGGAGCGACCGTCAAGGTTACACAAATTGCAGATCACTCCCGTGAACCTCCGGTCTTCTATTAGCCAATCAAA